GGGGGGGCGGGCAGCAGAGCCAAAACCTGCCGGGTGCTCACCCTGGGGGCCCTGGGCTCGTGCCGAGCTGCTGCCATGCTCCCCGTGCCATGCCAGGGTAGTGCACAGGCTGTACATAATGCAGAGCTGGAGAGTCGAAGAAGCTCCAGCTCCTCACCCAGAGCCTGCTCAGATGGTCTGTACCCCGAGCCAGACCCTGCTGCCGTGTCCCAGCCTCCCAGCGTGGTGTTTGGGCACCCCGTGTTGGCCGATTTGGTTGTTTCGTGAGGTTGGGGTTTTTTTCCATTTTCTCAAATGAAAATGAAATTTTCTCATTTTCAGTCTCAAATATCACCCAATTTGGCTGCTTTATTTTGAGGGATCAGGTTTTTAAAGGACTGCTTGTACTGAGGGAGCAAAGGGGGGCTGCTCTTCCAGCCCTGACCTTGGCACAGGGCTGGGCTGTCCCTGAGCCAAGCTGCTGTGGCTGGAGAAGATGCTGAGCTGCCAGGACCAGCTTGCTGGCAGCAGCACACACGCATGTGGGAAAACTTCAGGGTTTTAATGAGTAAATTTAATGCAGTGTCCTGCTGTTTTGGGCAGATTTCCATATCGATCCTTAATCTATTTTTGCAGCCGCTTTTGGAGGTGGCATTCACTTGTCTGTCTGCTAGGGCTCCATCACAACTGCATCCCAGCTCCTCCTGGCACGGGAGCCTTTGTGCTCGTGGAGGCAGGGGCTCCCCGGGGCTTTGCCGAATGTGAATTTGGATCCGGGTCCTGCCTTGGCACGGGGCTGGGGTCACCCAGCACCCCTTAAGCCAGCTCACCCCTGCCATGCTGCTGTTTTCCTCCTGGCTTCCTAAAAATAAAGGATGCCCCAATCTCTCCCCCATTCCCCGTGCGCTCCCCGGCAGCGATGGGGTCCTGGTAGCCCCCCTGGCCGCGGTTGGCGTGTGACACTGCAGCCCTAATGAAGTTTGCTGGGTGGCCGTGCTGTCAGTCCTGCAGCCCGCAGCAGAGCTGTTACTGCTGCTAATTAACTCAGCTGGTGCCCCAGCCGCCTTCGGTCGAGTTTGATGTATATTTGCTAATGCAATTTTTTCCCCTTTCCACAGGAACTCGCCCCTGGTCAGCCACAGGGGCTCTCTCCAAAATGCACTAATGACATTTGGGGGGGGCTTCTTCTTTTCCATTGTAAAAGTGGAGATGGACGGCTGGGGGCCGGACCCCCACGGGCTCTGGGAACAAACCCACTGCAGCAGAGGTGCTGGCGCAGCTGCGGCCCCCAGCAGCGGTGACAGGGACAGGGGCCTCAGTCCTTGCCAGGACCCTGCAGCCCCCAGGGTTTCGCTCTTCTCCCCCTCTCCAGGACACGACCCCAAGGGTTTGGGCAGGAGCAGGGCTGTGGGCCAGGCACAGCAGGGTCCCTCAGCGGGTCCCCAAACGCTGCCCGTCCCCTCTCCTCCTTTGGGGCTGTGCACGCCGGGCTGCAGCCGTGCCCGGGACGTGCTGTGCCACGCAGTGCCCACCCACGCAGGGGGATGCTCGGGTGGGTGGGTGTTGGTGGGTGCTGCTGGGCAGCGCCGTTTGAGCCAGGAGCCAGGGTGAGGGGTTCCCCTGGTTGGAACCTGAATGGTGTCAGCAAGCAGCTTTCCATTTGTCAGATTAATTACGAAGCGAGTTAATCCATGTATCCAATTTAATTTTTAAGGCTTTAATTAATGAGCTAACGCGTGGAAAAGTTGGGGAGCGGCAGGGTTGTGGTGCGATTGCTGACCCTGGGTTACGCTGCAGCCTTCGCCGTGTGTCTGCGGGTGGGCTGGGATGTGCCAGTCACTCCGGTGTGGTTCACCAGCACCGTGGGGACCCCGTGGACCGGGAGGGTGGCATTGCCCAAACCGCAGCCGCTGATGAGCTGACCTGAGAGCAGAGTGGGGGCACCTTGATTTGGGTGGGAGCATCGTCCATCACGGGGTGCACATTTCGGGGAGTAGCGCAGTTTCACCTTGTCACGGGCACTTTTTTCCTCCCTCCTTTCTGCCTCCAAACGGCTGCTCTCGTGCTGCCATCGCTGGGGCGGGATCGCGCCAGGGCTGCAGCCAGCGGGGCCGTTGGTGTGTTGATAACACTGCTTTTAATTGAAGACCATCTGTACTTGGTAATTTAATTTTTTCTGCATCTGCAAGGTTCCAACTTTATTTATCTGACGTCCTGAGGATTATTTAACTCACAGGCGTCATGTTCCTCCAACAAAGGCACCCCAGGCATTCCGCTGCAGCCCCTGCTAGAAGGTATTTTAATAACATTGTCAAAGCCCCAGGAAAAAGGACACATAAAAACTGAAATTGCAAAGGGCAACAACAGAGCTGAGTTGCGGGGACAGCTTTTCTGCCCGCTTTTGCATAGCGGGTGGCCTGCTGTGAGTTTTACCCCTATTACATTAAACTGCGCAAGATTAAGAATGAACCCTGAACACCACGACCCCTCTCATTGTGATCAGGCCCGGCAGTGTATTTCATGTTTCAGTGCATTGACACACGTCATCTTTTGTCTTTGGATGCTTATTAGTCGTTAAACCCCCCAGCTGTGCCTTTGAAAGGCTGTGGGCATGGAATTGAACTGCAGCTCCTTAAAAAATAATAATAATTGGAAACTGGAAAGTCTATTAGCCATGGTATGGGGGAAGACTTGGGCATCTGGTTCACGTGGCCCCAACGGGAGCTGTTGTGTGCAGCTGGCGGCAGCCCCCGCCTTTTCCCCCCCCCCTCCTCCCACCTTCTTCACCCGTGTTTTGCAGCGCCCTGTGCTTGGGGGCAGGCAGGGATGCAGGCAGGAGCCGCTGCTTGAGACAGCTCCGGCTGTGTCTCCTGCCTGCAGGAGCGTCTCTGCTAATACTCATCCTGAAACGCTGCTCTGTTCCACACCGAAACCCCAGGGAATCCACTATTTTCCCCAGCCCAGTCCAGCAGCACCTAGATCCACATGCAGCCTTTAATTAGATTTAAGCATTTCCCCCTCTGAAATGTAGGTCAGTCGTAATTAGTGTGAATCCTGCTGCTGCCAGCTTTGCTTTTAATTAAGCTCCTGAAGTGGAGGTCGATGCATGAGGTGTGCAGCATCGGAGCTTCAGCTTTTTCGGCTGCTCACCAGATGCTTTGTGGTCGTTTCGGCTCGGCTGGTCCATGCTCAGGGCCGGGGCTGTGTTCTCCCTTCTCCTGCCGGCTGGTCACCTTTGGAGCACGGCCACGCTGGGGATGTGGCTGCATCCCTGGGCACAGCCATCCCTCAGCACACACTGTCCTCTGAGCTGGAGGTGCTGGTGCGGCCGTGGAGCTGCGCGGGGAAGGGCACTTGTTTAGTGCAGGTTTTAACGTGAAGCTCCTGTTGTCATCGTCCCTTGTCATCATCAGCTGGGCACTCCGGGATCAGCAGGGACACGCAGAGTGTTTTTCTGCCTCTCCAGGTCCCGGCACGGCATCCCTGGCGCGGTCCCTGGCAGGTGGCATCGGCAGCGGGGTGCCACCGGACTTTTGGACGAGCACCGTGCTGGTGCGGAGCCCAGGGCTCCCAGCCCCTCCACCTTGTGGGGCTCTGGTGCGGCACTGGGACCTGTGGTAGGACCCAGGGTTTTCGGACAGCAAACTGAGCATAGAGACTGGATCTTCTGCAGAAGGTAAATCTGCTCTGTCTCACCCACAAAACAGGTGCCTGTCAGCGTGGTTCTCCATCCGCTGGGAACGACGGCAAAGGCGCAGGTCCTCTGGTCGGGTTTTCTCAGCGCTGTTTGCTGTGGCGCGTTTCCACCCCGGGACAGCTCGCCTGGCACGGCCACACTCACCTGGGAGCCGGCGTGCAGAGATGCCGGGGGCTGGGGAGCACGTCACGGCAGTGGGGACCCTCAGTTTTAAGCACTTCAGGCCTTCAGCAGCCCTGGTTTCGTGTCCTGGGGAAAGCCGCGGCTCCGTGCTCGGGGCACGGGGCACGGCGAGCCAGTCCTGAGCCCCCGACCGGTTCCCCGAGCGCTTTTTGGCTCCCCCACGCCGCAGCCTGGCTGCCTATTTTTACTGCTCCTGGGCTGTGAATCACTCCGCTCCCTCGTCTCGGTTGCTGCCTTTGAAGGTATTTATAAACCACGATCATCTCCCCTGTGCCTGCTTTAGCAGACTGTGTAAATTTAGAGCTCTGGCTCACTCCTGCCCTCTCCTCCTTGTCCGTATCCTTGCTGTTCGGTGAGCATAGATGTGCAGGACTGAGATGCTCTCTCTACCCTAATTAAAAACATCAAAACAGAAATGAAGAGCCCCACTGCTGCTGTCCTGGCAGGGTGATGCTGGCACTGGCATCCTGAGGAGCCGAGCGGTGTGGGATGTGCAGGGATGGCCCTTGGCACGTGTGTGCTGCTGTTTACCTGGGAGGGTTTTGGTGGCACCGGAGCTGGTGGCGTGTCCGGTGCTGAGGGGTGAGCTGGGGCAGAGCCCCTGTTCCTGCCGGTCGGTGTCGGGGAAGGTGAGGAGCGGGGCTGAGCCAGCAGAGCCCGGCCGGGGTCAGGGCAGCCCTGGCCATCCCACGGCTGTGTGTCTGGAGCGGGGAGAGCACCCCATGCCTGCTCCAGGGAAAAGGGATTTAAATTGGGCATCACTGGAGCAGTGAACAGCTGCCCCATCCTGCCGGTGCACAGTTCCCTGGCTGTGTTTTCATCACGTCCTGCTGATTACCGTGCTAATTTCTGTGGATCGAGCAGGCAAATTAATCTCTTCTCTTCTTCTTCCCCTGGGACCGCTGGATCATTAGGATTGAGTTTTGTTAAAACTTATGAGAGCCTGGTGTAGCTCACCGGGCCGGCAATCGCTTTGGGATGCGGTCAGGATCCATCCCCTGCCCTCGCTGGCCGGCACAGCCGCCCGGAGGGGCACCGATGGGCTCCCCCCGCAGCCCCACACTGCTCCCGGATCTGCCGGGGCGTTACCTGGGCGGTCACAGAAAGTTTCTTGTTGGCTTTGGGGAAAACCCCAAGGGGCAGGGTGGAGGGGCACTGCCCCCTCTCCTCCTCCTTCCCACATCCGCTGCTAAAAACCAAACAGGAAAAAAACCCCAACCACCAAACGTGAGCTCACTGGGAGAAAAATGGGTACAAACAGCAGGAAAAGGAGTTATTTTTAAGTTGCTAACTGAATATGGAGTAGTTGGCTGTGTCTTTTGAAGGCCATTAAGATGGGATGCTGGCGCTCATTAATTTATTGCCAGAGGTCTTCTAGCCCAAGCCGCACACCGCACTAAATCAGCCTTGCAGACGCGAGGATTTAACTATCCAAATAGATGTAGCTTGTGGCAGATGCAGGGAACGATCTTCTGGCTGGGCCATGGTGCAAGTGGCTCCAACAGGCTCTGGGACCAATGTAATCGAGTTTAAAAAGTGGGGAGAGGAGATCAGCCCGAGGGCTGGGGGGGAAACGCGGCTGGGGGGCTGGGGTGCACGTATCTCCCCAGGGTCCTCAGCGTCCTGCAGCCGTGCTCGCCCATCATTGCCCTTTCTCTTCTCTTTCAGAATAAGGTGCTGACGGTGGATGGGGTGAAGGTGAAGCTGCAGGTACGTCCCCATGGCCCTGGTAGCAGCTCCCTCACTCCACCTGGGGCATTCAGGGCTGGGAGCACCCCAGAAGCAGGACCCCCGTCTCCATCCTTTGCCGTTTTGTCTCCTCCTCCAGGACAGCCTTACAAGCCCTTTCGGCCGCCCCGTCCCCTTGGTGGGAGCCTGCTCAAGGCGGGGGGCTGTTCTGGCCATGGTGATCCCCGTCCCAGCCTCCCTGTTGGCAACTGCAGCTGGAGGCGGTGGCACCGGAGCAGTCTGTGGGGTTTTTGCCCAGTGTTTCCAGGCAGCTCCTGCTTTGGGAGAGCCAGAGGACGGTGAGAGGGACGGAGACCCTCCGAAGGGATCCACATCCCCTGGCTCAGCCTGCATCCAGCCCACGAACACGTGGGAGATTTTGTGTCCCCCACAGCCAGAGCCGTGCTGCCCCCCCGAGACCCAACCATTTCTCTGACCCCTTTTCCAGGAGCTCAGTAACAACATTAGCGCTGATCTTCCCCCGACAGCAGCATGGCACTCTGCAAACGTATCGCTGCATTAAAAACTGATAAATTAAATTAGCGGGTCCCCACGCATCCATCTGCTGGATGGATTTGCCGATTAAGGGACGCGTCGAGAGCCCTTTGCCACGCACCATCGTCTCCACAGGCTGAGGAGCGGGGAGGTGCTGCTTCAATATTTATTGCACTTGTCATTTTTCCTATTACTGCCCCTAGAAGCAAAAGGCCGAAGAAGCTTCTGGGGGTTGCACCGTGCTGTTTGGTTTGGTGTTGGTTTTGGTGCCGGGTGGGTCCCTCAGCCCGCGCATTGGCAGGTCATGGCTGACCCCTCTGCTCCCGTCTGCCTTCCAGATCTGGGATACGGCCGGGCAGGAGCGCTTCCGCAGCGTCACCCACGCCTACTACCGGGACGCCCACGGTAAGCACGGCCGCCTCTGCTTCCCGGGGGGGGAGCACCCTCCCTCCGGCTCTTCGGGACCCTGGGCTGTGACTCCAGGCCAGGTGAGTCGGGAATCCCCGGGGCGGTTTCCCTGTAGGAAGCAGCCGCCAAGGATGGAGGAGCCTCTGCCTGTCGAGGTGCAAACACCGTGTGTCTAGGGCATTGTCCGTAGTGGATTAAAGCGTGTTGCTTTGTATTTTACAGCAGGGACCTCAGCGGTGCTGTAACGCCGTGTCCCCAGGCGCGACCGGCAGCGGGGGGCACACGCTGCCTCGGGGAACGGTGCAGAGCAAGCTCTGAGCTGTGGGCTCTGCTTGGCCGTGCCTCTGCCCAGCACCACGGCACCAGCATTAATGCTCCGTCCCTCTCTCCGCAGCCCTGCTCCTGCTCTACGATGTCACCAACAAAGCGTCGTTTGACAACATCCAGGTCTGTCCCTCGCGTGTGATGGGCTGGGTCGCGGTTGCGGATCGGCCCTGGGGAGGGGGTATGTGCTGCCGGAGATGCATGTTCGTGGTATGAACCAGGATTGTTTCCAGAAGGGCTGTGGTTAATGCTAAGCACCTGTCTGATGGCAGGTCTGCCTACGAGGACACCAGAGGACACACAGAGAAGTTTTTCGCTTTCATAGTAAATAAAAGGGCTGACGGATTCACTTCACTGGCAAATTTACACTGTGTGTAACCCTAGTACCGGCTGGAGAACTTGCTCCGGTAAATGAGTGCAGGCAGCTTTACCAAGCGAGGTGCTTCCTCGTCTTCCTCTGCACCTTCAGGTCCCGACAGGTCAGGCTTGGGGGGCCACGTTGCCTCCCCCCACCTTAGTGCCAAACCCAGGCAGGGGAGAGGGTCGCATCCTGCTGCACGCTCCTCGCCCCCAGCAGACCTGCCCTTCCTGCCGGTTTTTGTGGGGGTCCCTTGTGCCGCCCAAGTCTGCCCCCTCCCTGCAGACCTGGCCCCCGGGCTGACCCTGAGCCCCGGTGTGGGTGTTTCAGGGGTGCTGGGGAGCAGTGTTGGAGCAGAGGGTTCCCTTAAATCTGCTAGAGAGGGGGAGAGCAAACACTGCCCGTGGGCATGTCACTGTGTGGCGGGGAAGGAGGACCTGGCCTCAGCGTGTCCCCCCCTCACCCCGCTGGACCCGTGGAGCTGCTGGGGGCCGCCTACGCCAGCGCTGACAGAGCGTGCTGCTAGCCCGGGGAGCAATTAGCCCTGGACGAACAGGATGTAATTGCTCGTGTCCCGGACACAGAGTACACCGTGTGCGTCTGCAGCGAGCAGGCTGTGCACCAGCAAAAACACCCTGTTTAACAGCACGGGAGGGGCCGTGCCAGCATTAACACCTCGGTGTGGGGAGCAGGGGGCCGTGATCTGCCATGGCCGCTCCTGGGGGCAAGGAATGAGTGCCCAGAGTGAGTGCGAGGTGCTGGAAAGAGGGATGGAGGGGGAAGAGTGCCAGAAGGGAGCCAAGGGGGGTTGTCAGGAGTGACCCAGTGTCCCTTGGACCAACCCATCCATTGAGCTGAGCGCCCTGAGCCCAGCCGGGGTGCGATGGGGTCCTGGGGCTTTGTCCGTGTGCATTGGGCTCCTGCTTCAATCCCGAACCATCCCTCACTTTCCTAGCCAGCTGGTGGTTGATGCAGGATGCTGCTGGGTGAGGAGCGGTGGTGGAGCAGGGATCGCCCAGCACTTGCCATGAGCCCAGCGTCAGTGCTCAGAGCCAGGGCATGGGCTGCAGCAGCGCTGCCCGCCTGGGAGGCAGCAAGCAGCCGCTCGCACCGCAGGGTCAGGGATTACAGGGAATTAGGGCAGGTTTGATTAGATTAGGCTGGATTAGAGGGCAGGGAAGCCACCCCGTGGCTTGGGGAGGCAGATTCAGCTGCCTGCCGAGACAAGTGTGCTCAGCACAGGGGCAGCATGTGCAGGACACAGGCATGGGGCACGTCCCAGAGCAAACCCTCAGCCTTTTCCTCCAAAAGGAGGTCTAGTCTTAGTGTCCCAACTGAGGGGAAATTCGGGTTAAATTCCTGTAAGCGCCTGTGGTCAGATGGAGCGGGCAGCAGGGCTGAAAGGCTGCCGTTACCCTTGAGAACGGGGGCTTGGTCAGCAGTCGAAGCAGGGTGCCAGGCTTGCTCGGCAAAGCAGGTTCCCCAGGGCTCAGTGGCATCCCAGGACACCCCCTCATCTGCAGGGCTCTCTGGGAAAGGGTGTCCTCGGGCTGGCGGCTGGCGGTCTTCTCCTGCCGAACCACAAGGAAGGAGGCTGCTCCTCTCCCGGGGTGCTGCTGAATCACAGGGGATCTGTGGGACCGGCTGCTTCCTGCGTGCCGCTCCCACCCTGCACAGACGAGTTTCTGAGCTGGGCTTTTTGTTTGGCATCTAATCCCCAGCCGTCCCTCCCTGTGTCCACGTAACGCCCCCCAGCATTGCTCGGGGATGGTAGCGTTTCCCATGGGGGGTGCCCTGTCCCCAGGACCGGGGCAGTCCTGCATCTTCCCCCTCCCGTTAACCCCTCTCTCTGGCTGTCTCTCCCCAGGCTTGGCTGACAGAGATTCATGAATACGCGCAGCAAGACGTGGTCCTCATGTTACTGGGAAACAAGGTGAGCCCGGCCCCACGGCTTTGCCAGAGCCTCCTCTTCCTCCCCTGACGGTCCCATGATGGAGCTGCGCTGCAGCCGTGGGCAGGGGAGCCTGGGAGGGCGTTGGGGGATGTGGGGCTTGTCTACTGACCTTCCAAATCTTCCCAAATTACTCTTCGATGTTACTGTTGGCAGGTGGATTCAGCCCAGGACAGAGTGGTGAAAAGGGAAGATGGAGAAAAATTAGCCAAGGTACGTGAGGTGTCCGTCTGCTGCAGCAGAATCAGTTGTTGCGTGCTCTGACGAGGGATGTGCAAGTAGAACAACTTGTAATTGATGATGTACACTGGTGGAATGGTTAACTGGAGACCAGTCTGACCAAAAATACGTCTGGGAGCACTTTGCTTTTCTTCCCTTGTCTTGCTTTCCTCTTCCTGCTCATCTGCTCTTCCTCTAAGCTTCCACTAACATTTTTCGCTTCTTTGACCTCAGAAATTATTTCTGAAGAAGTGTAAGGAACACCTGAGCTGTGACCCCTCACTCAGCTTTTCCTGCCCACCGCGGCAGAGCCCCTCTGCCAGGGCAGCTCCTTCGACAGGCACCGATGTCAGCCAGGGCTCAGCGCGAGCCGGGAGCTCCCGAGCCCCCGGGGACACCCTGGGTGACATTTCTGACACTGGTGTGTCTTGTCCCACAGGAGTACGGTGTGCCCTTTATGGAGACCAGCGCAAAAAGTGGCCTCAATGTTGAATTAGCGTTCACAGCCATTGCAAAGTAAGTGACTGGTGCAGCAGCCGTGCTGGGCATCTCTCCCGCGGTGTGGGTAGCAGTCTTCGAGATAAAGGCTGGCACTGTCACCCCTCTTTCCATTCCCGGGGCTCCCACCTTCAGCTCTTGTGCTGGCAGATACTTGCCCATCTCATATAAGATACAAAATGTCTCATGGAGGGGAGCTTTAGCAAACCATCTAGACCAAGTCCAGTTCAACTGAGCTGGGCCAGGCAGCTTAGAAGCAGGCGGCGCAGGCAGAAAAGTAACGTGCTTTCCCCCTTCCCACAGGGAACTGAAGCACAGGTCCATGAAGCTGCCCAACGAGCCCAAATTCAAGCTCCACGACTACGTGAAGAAGGAAGTGAGAGGCTCGGGCTGCTGCAGGTCCTAATGCGCTCGGTGATTTGTACAGAGACTCGTGCCAAGTGTTTGTGCGCCGCGCTCTCTCCTCGTGGACAGTGTGTGCATGTCTGTCTGTCGTGTCTGTATCTGCCTGAAAGGTGAGCTGAGACGTGGGGAATGGAAGCAGCAGCAGAAAAAGCTCTCTCGGCCGGGGCAGACGCTGGCCGTGTTGCAGCCAGGTGCTGCTCCCCGAGCCCCTGTCGCATCCATCCGCACTGCGAGCCCTCCGGATTCCCTCTCCGCTCGCTCCCGCTTCCCACGCAGGTGGGAGGGGGGCATTCAGGAAGGGACTGGGGTGGGCTGGGGTCTCGCCGTTGCTCCTTCGGCAGACCTGGCTGCCTCTACCCGTTCAGCAGCAGCCAGGAGCGTTATGAGGCTTCCTTAATGTTAGTAGGAATTGTGACGTGACCAAGGGGAACGAGCGAACGCCTTCTCCCCATCAACATCTGGGTAGGAAAAAGTCCCAAATTCCCTTTCCTTTCCCCACACACCTGGAATTCAGCTGTTCAGAGCCCTGGCCCAGGGCACACAGGAAAGACTTGTTTTCGAGGCAACCAGTTTTGTAGTTGCTTACTTAGGTCTGTTCATCTTTCATGTGGTGTAACACACCTCCTCGATGAAGGCTTCTCCTCTTCCCTGCAGAAAAGAGCTTAGCTGTCTGAGTAAGCTGCTGCTAACCTATCTGTTGTACAGAGATTCCTGAATGTTTTATCTGTTTGGTAAAGGCTTTGGTTCTCTTACTACTGCTGTTTCTAGTACTTTAATTGAGAAGAAATCTAATGTACTGCAGCTTATTCTAAATACCTTCATGTAAGTGTGATAGCGTTTTTAGACTGCAACAATGCTTTGATATCTTCAAAGTTCTCTTGGGACAGCTCTTTCTGTTAACTGAAGAAAGCTGGAGGGATGCTGTAGGCATTGATTTCACAGGTTTCAGACTCTTCTGCCAGCTCTCTTCAGTGGGACTCCTCACCCCTTTAGTCTGTGTCAGGCATTTGGCTTTTTTTTTTTTTTAATCTTTTTTAAAGCAGCACCTCTAAGTACAAATTTGAATTTGGATGAAGTGTTTGGCCTTTGGCAATTTTCTTCTTTGAAAATTCCACATGCGTGACACCAGGTGCCCCCTGCACTGAACCTCCCCGCGCTGCCCTAAACTGACCATTTTAAGTAAAATAACCCATCCTTCGCTCTCCAGCCGCCAGCCGAGCACCAGCGCTCTCAGCAGTCAGTTCAGACGCCGCTGCCCCTTGTTTCGCTCGGGCTGTAGCTCCAGCGCTGCATTCCTGACATGCACAAAGACCCTCTGCAGCCACTGCGTGTGGTTCAGGCAGGCAGGGACTCCACGGAGCTACGCTCCTCAGTAAAATGAGCAGCTACTGCTTGAAGTGGATCCAGCACAATAACAGTATGAAAAAAGGATGTTAAAATAAACCTGCTGCAAACAGAGCATTTTTTTTTTTCCTAAATAGCTTTTTAGGGAGAAACAAGTCTTTCAACTGCCTGTTTTAAAATTTATTTAAATTTATTGAAAAGCCATTCCTGCAGGAATATTTGCAGCACACAGCCAGGAGCAGACCCCTGCTGCAAGTACCGCGGAGCAGGCAGGCGGCGGCAGCAAGCGGGGCTGTGGGGGAACAGCAGTCAGGACCCCCCATGTCCCACCTCAGCAGCAGCACTCCCCACAGATCCATGGGGATGGCCAGCACTGGCACAGATGCTCCCACCAGAGCAGCAGCCATCCATTCCTCAGCCGAGGCTTTCTCTGAAATAACTGGAATGAGACTCTTCACCTGCTCTAGAAGGTGGCAATGTCTGCTACAAGTCCTCTCATTTGCAAGTAGCGACAGAACACGGGGAAGGCTCTGAAAGTGGCTCGGGCACTGTTAAGTGCACAAGAATCTGTAAAACTCGCTATTTCACGCTGCTTTGGTGAGCTTCGCTGTGCTCCTGTGGCTGCTGCTTGTCCAGTGTGTCCTACATGAAGCTGCTTATCTCACAGCCACCTCCATTCTCATCCTGGGCTGTGTAGCACACGCTTGCTAGCTGCAGTGAAGAAAAAAAAAAAAAGGGAGTGGGATTTTCTTTAGTCCTGAGCTTGCCAAGTACCAGTATTTTGGTATCCCAGCTGTGCTCTGGGCACTGTGTTTTCTCAGCCTGGCCTTGGCCGTGCAGCACCAGCCCCTGTCCTGAAGTGCCCATCGTTGCACGGACACACTACCCCAGAAGCTAGAGTCTCCCAGAGGCCAAAAATAAGCAGCAGTATTCTTAATGCTCCCATCAGGTTGCTGCCTTCTCTCTTCCTTACAGGGCAGGAGAGCCTTGCATCTTGCCATCTTGAAGAAAAAGCTTACAACTCAACTTACTTCAGTGTGGAACCAAAACAAATTTAAAAAAATGATTCAATTAAGGAATATGTAAATAGTACCATTCAGAGTACTTTACACCTGTTGGGAGCTAACAACTGCAGCAGAGACATCACAACTGCGTTTAGGTCTAGTACCACAAACTTTAAGCCAGATTCAACCCCCATCTCTCCCAGTCACAAGTTCACTCTATACAACTGGTCTCCCAGCGCCTGTACATTGACCTTCCCTAAAGCTCTTCCTCAGACGGTTACTTGGCATCTTCTTACATGGGCCTTTACTGCCACCAAGCGATGAGGAATTAATTGTTCGGTGCATTCAAACAAGCCAGAGGACTCAGCATTACATGCAACTTCTCATTTTTGCCGCTTGTTTACAGCTTTTGTTTCATTCCTGTTAATAAATTTTTTTAATAATCTTTGTGGCTACAATGGTATTTTGGTTAACACACCTGCAGTGTTTAATCTTTCAAATAGTTCAGCTCATGCTTAAACCCACCTAGATCCTTCCATCACCAGCACATGGTCAGGTGCTCCAATGCAACCAGTATGAATCAAAGAGAGCTGGGCTAAGCTGCACCACATGTTTTAAGGGGCTCTGATCCCCTTCAAAGTATATATTAATAGTAGAAATGGTCTGCTGGGTGCCCAAATGTAAAGTTTAAAGTTGGTCTGTGGTTTTACATTCCACCCATTAGATTTGTGAAAAACAGAAGCAAAAGCAAACCAAGTCTTTTGAAAACTTTATTAAAAATTTTCAAGTAGTCATCTACACAATCTAGCACTGAAATTCATACATATGGCAAGAACTGCCACCTGTGAATCCCTTCAGTTACCCACACTACTTCAGGCAGCTCTGCAGCTGCTTCTTTGTGCTTTAAAAGCTGCCTTGACTCCCAAGTTGTACAGCATGAGAAACAGCAGCGTCCGCAGAAGAGCACGTCTGTTAGCCGTACCGGGAGCTGCATCGCTTGCTCTGCTCCAGAGCTTGCGGCTCACACGATGCCTCCAATAGCGGCTCTGCAAGGCACGAAGTAGGTGCCCCAGCCCCCGTTTCACCCGCCTGAAGCCCACCCTGCTTTCCCCAGGGCTGTAGATCCCAGCAGCAGCTTACGGGGATGCATGGTACGCTAAAAACAAGCGACACTTTATTTTACTTCCCTGAAAGCCCGCGCGTAGGCCGCGCTGCCTGCCCAGGCAGCCACCCGGCAG